GAGATGTTGAGGGGCGGAAAAGGTAAGTGAAAAAGCAAGTGGAGGGAAATGTAAGGCCAGGTAGAAAGGTGGGGAAGGAGTAAAGCTAGGAGAGGAGAGACAGACCAGCTAGGGGGAAACAGAAGAGGGAGGAGAACTATGGGGGAAAGAAAAGTCAGGAGGAGGAGGGCAGTTGGGGTGGAGGAAAGGAAGGAAGAGGAAAGGAAAGAACAGAGGAAGAAGGTGGCAAGAGGGATCGAGGAGGTGAGAGAAGAGTGAGGACGTTGGAGCCGCAGGAGGATGAAGGGGGACTAGGCGTGAATGGGGAGTTGGAGATTGAGGGGCCCCGGGGCGAAGGGAGGAGGAAGGGAATAAAGAGAAAGGCAAGCACAGCTGTTCAGAGTCCTTCTAGGGGCTCAAGGAGGCGTCGTATTTCCAGGTCCTTCGCTGCTCGATCCCAAAGTTTAGAATCCAATTCCAAGAGCTATGGTGAAGCCTGCCGACCCCTAGCAGAGCTGGAGCTGATGCTGGGGAATTCCGCCGAGTGCTGGCTTGGCTCACACCTCTTAGACTGGAACCTGGACGCTCATCAACAAACCACCCCTTTCAGTTTGCAGTTGGAAAAGGAACACCCTCTGCAGCCTGACAAAGCCGGTGCCCCTGGGATGTGCATGCTGCAGCCATGTCCTAGGGAATCCCAGTAGCAAAGGTGTCCCCAAGGTCTCCACTCACCCCCAACACACATCTCAGGAGAAAGCCCAGCCCCAAAGTCTTTCTTAGGGGAAGAGCCCAGGGGAGCCCAGGCCTCTAGCCAAATCCCACCTCTCTGACATTCAGTGCAGCCTTTGAGGTTTCAACATTCTCCAACCAAGCAGGAAGCTGGTGTTTATCTTACCCACAGCTAGGTGCGGCCTCCCCCTCTGCTTGCCAGCCCCACCATCTCTGTATCCCCTCTGAACTCAAGACCCTTTGCCTCAGCTTCAACCCATCTTTGTTCCATTTGGTCAATGAAGTGCCTTTTCTATCTTCTAATATGGGGCTAACAGATTTCCCAGTTTTCCAAGACACCTACAGAGGCAATGGAAACAGTAGAGACTGGATTTCGGGGAAGTTTGGGAGGTTAACTGGATGGGATCTAGCCATTAGGTGTGGGGGTGAGAGACGGAGGGTCCATCTTCATTGAGTAGTGTGTTAGTTTGTTAGGGCTGCTAAAGAAAACAAAGTACCAGAAATTGCTCGCCATTTGTGTGTCACTGGAGATTGCTAGTCATTGGATGTGCACTGCGGATTGTGGATTGTGGATGTGCTAATCATTGGATGTGGGGGTAAGAGACTGGAGGGTTCATTTTCACTGAGTAGTGTGTTTGTGTGCTAGGGCTTCAAAAGAAAACAATTTGGTGGCTTAAACAACAGTAATCTATTGTCTCACAGTTTCAGAGGCTCGAAGTCTGAGATCGAGGTGTCAGTCAGCAAGGTTGGTTCCTTCTGGGGGCTGGGAGACAGAATCTGTCCCATGCCTTTCCCCAGCTTCTGAGGGTCTGCTGGCAAACTTTGGTGTTCCTTGGCTTGTAGAAGCATCACCTGATCTCTGCCTTTATATTCATGTGGCGTTCTCCCTGTATCAAAATTTGTCTCTGTGTCAAAATTTGTCCTTTTTATAAGGAAGGACAACAGTCATATTGGATTAGGGCCCACTAATGACCTCATCTTGATTCAATTAATTAAATCTGCAATGACTCTATTTCCAAATAGAGTCACCTTCTGAGGTACGGGTGTTAGAACTTCAACATATGAATTTTGGAGGACACAATTTAACCCATACCTGGTAGAGAACAGGTAGTTCCAGTCACAGAGATGGCAGAAGAGAGGAGACCGGGAACGCAGAAGAGGAGGCCTTTGTCTTAGGTGTTATGTTTGAGGTCCCTAGGGTCTTTGGGTCATCGGGAGTAAGTTAGATGCTTGGTAGAGAAACGTAAATGTCATCATTTGTGAAAATGATACAGTTCATGATTGGAAAAGCTTTATCGTTAGACAGTCAGGCATCTATAAAATTGGGAGATGGTCCAAAGTAGCTCTTTCTCTTCCCTTTCCAGTCTTCCCGTTTGCTTTTTCAAGTTCATGTTTGACGGGCGGAGAGGCTCCCTCCATGCACTCCTACTTCCTTCTTTCTCCTCCCTTGTCTCAGAGTCTAGCTTCTTTCTCTTGGCACCTGGTCCATCGTTATGTTCTAAGTATTGAAAGAGAGGATGAGTGGTCTAGGCTGGTGGAGTTTCTAGAAGACTGCTTCTTCACATTATTTCTGTATTATTATATGTTTTAAAAAGGCCTCACTCTCTTTTTCTCACCTCATCAAGACCTTCTCAGTTATCCTGACTATGAGTAGAGTGGATATACACTCCTGGAAGAGGGTTCATGGAGGTGAAACTGCCCACCTGACCTCATAAAAATGATAGCCTTCAGCCCATGTGTGGCAGCTGAAGTCTTAGAATTGAATGAAATCTCCAATTTAGGAGGATGTTTCAAGATACCAGGTTCTGGGAAGACCAATATGTAAGAGGCAGGCAGAAGTAAGAAGATAAGGTTGAAAACTGAAAAAGTGAAATCAAAATGGCAGGAGAAGAACCAGTAACGAGGTGGATTCCAGACTGTAAGGAAGGAAAGAGATGTCACAAATGATGCAGTGTGGTCAAAATGGGGGAGACAGAATTTCCTCATCTCTCTACCTGCCCTATAGAATAGCACCTGAGAAATATACATGCAGAAGAATATATGCAGAAGACTGGTTATCAGCCTGGCTACATGGTACAACAGCCTTGGGAGTTTTTCTTAAAAACACTAATGTTTCAGTGCTTCCCCTAAACAGCCTGATTTAATTAGTCCGAGGTGGCCAATCTGCAGATTGGTATAATTCTAAAGTTCTCCACTGCACTAGAGAGCCATCTGCCTAGTGGTTTTCTGAGGCCCTGGGTCTCTGTTTAAGAGACAAGTGGTGGAAGATAGCCCAAACGTCTTCATCCCTTTAGAACAGGATGTCTCTCTGTCATGAGCAGAAGGTAAGAGGGACCCTCCATGCTGGGCCAGCTGCAACTGCCGTAAAATTGGACTTGATTTCCACTGCATTTTGACATTGAGTTGTCAGTCTTCACCTTTAGTATTAATAATTGCCTGTTTCTGTGTGTGCATCTTTTTTAAAAAAAACTTTACTGGGGAGCAGTGTGTTTTTCCAGGACCCATCAGCTCCAAGTCAAGTAGTTATTTCAATCTAGTTGTGGAGGGCGTGGGGATCGAACTGGCAACCTTGGTGTTATGAGCACTGCGCTCTAACCAACTGAGCTAACCGGCCACCCAATGTGTGCATCTTTGTAGATATTTCAGTGAGAAGTAGGAGAGGCTATCAGCTGCCACTTGCATGTCTTTTAGAAGCTTAAGTTCCTTTTTTACTTCATATGGCTCCTCTCCCTCTCTCTCTTTTAACACCCCAATCTCTAACCCATTTGGAACTGATTTTAGTGTTAGAGTGTTAGGTATGAGGCAAGGATGTAGCTCTTTTTTTTTTTCTCTAAATAATTGTCCAATTGTCCCAATACCATTTATGGAATAAACTTTTTTCCCCCTATGATTTGAGATAACAACAAAAATAGCATAAGAAAAAAAAAACAGCAACTGTATTATAACTCAGGAATTCTTCAGAAAAAAATGAAAACTGTGATTGAGCCTGGAGCCCTTTTTGGATAGTAATGACTGCTGCTACCGAAAGGGTGTCCCTTCATTATCCAAGTAGACTCTCTAGGGGAGCAAGAAACAAGCTTTGAGTTTGCTCAGGGTTTGAGACATTGGAGTAGGGATGAGATGCTCTGTTATTTGAGGAAGTATTTTCTTTTTCCATATGTATTTAAGTAGGACCGAACCTGAAATGTCAAGTCTGTGTTTGAGAGATAAGCCTGTGATTATTCTAACATGACCACTAATTAAAGGAAGCACTATTCCTGCAGCTCTCACTGAAGCTTATAGTAAAGGAAATTAGACCAAGAGGATTCGGGTCTGCTCCTGTCCAAGAGATCAGCTGTTCTAAGAGACTTGGGTGGCAATAGGTGTCACTTGTCCCTTAGGGCACTACTCCAGAGAGAATCACTCCAACTGGAGGCACTGTGACCTAAGGGCCAGCCTCGGGTGGGTGGAGATTCAGAGACTTGAAGATGGAAGCCCATAGGGAGATGGTTTGAGAGCCACGTACACAGTGGGGATGGGACAGGAGTGGGTTCTGTCCTGGTGAAGGACTTTCATTTCAAGTTCTTTCCACTGGGGACTCCAGGGAAAGCTTAAGGTACCCCAACCTCTAGGTTTTCCTCTTCTCCTCTGTCCCCAGTACCTCCCCAATACTAATCTGCTTTCTATTTCTATGGGTTTGCCTCTTCATATAAATGGAACCATGCAATATGTGACCTAACTTCTTTCACTTAGCATAATGTTTTCAGGGTTCATCTATGTCGTAGCATGTATCAGTATTTCATTCCTTTTTAGGCTTGAACAATATTCTATCGTACGAATATATCTTTTGTTTATCCATTCGTCTGTTGATGGACATTTTGGTTATTGTGAATAGCATTATTGTGAACAGTGCTGCTGTGAATATTTTCAAACAGGTTTTTGTTTGAATACCTGTTTTCAGTTCTTTTGGGACTAAATCTAGGAGTCTACTCCTTGCTGAGTCATATGGTTCTTGTATTTTTTAAAATTAGTTTCAGGTGTATAAAGCAACATAATAAATATTTAGATATTTAAACCCCTCATAAAGTGCTAACCCACCCCTCAAGTTACTACCCCTCTGAAATCTTATATAGCTGTTCAATACTATCGACTATCTTCCCTATGTTGTACTCCAC